CAAAATCTACCTGCTTCAGGCTGCTGATGGCAAGAGTGAAATCTTTACCAGATCTACCACTGCTGAATCAACGTGCTCCCCAGAATGCAAATTGCTTGGAGCATAGATTAGAATCGTAAGAGCTTTCACTGATTTTTTCTAATGGCAATGTAAATTCTTGTTGATATTCTGACTGGCTCTGCAAGGGGTGCTTACTTTGTCTCCTAGTGAGCCAGCAAGGAAAGATGTAGACTTGGTCATCTGGATTTCACATTGCACACCTGACATAGGAAACATAATCACATAGGTACACATGATCAATCCGCCTTTAAGAAAACTTTTTCAAGCACCAGGATACACTGACCACACTGAGCTGAGGAAATCCCCAGTGCTGCTCATCCTTACCTGGGAGCCAGAGCTGCAGGAGCCCCAGGAAGTTAACAGGAACCCTCATGTCTATGCTGTGTGCTGACTGGGATTGCCTGCTGACAGGGTGTAAATAGAAAAATAAAATTTCAGGGAACAGGTATGTGAGTTTGGACATGCAGAAGAGCAGAGGCTGAGCAGGACTGGGCACAGCTGCAGGGCTACCTCATTGTGGTAATTCAGGAAAGGCTAAGAGACCCAAGTCCCAAGCAAGGCAATCATTGTCACATTTGAAGCTGCAACTATGGTTTTGACAGGTGCACAGGCAAGAATCCCGGCAAACAGTGGTGTGATGAAGAATACAGTCATGGTTTATGTCTGTGTTTCCCAGGCCTCATGAGTTTGCATTGTGTATTTGTGATTGGTTTATTGTCTAGTGCTTGGATTGATGGTGTCAGTGCTCCACCTACATAGTGGTGGAGCCAGGATGTGATGTAATGGCAGGAAGAAGGTGTGTCTTGCTCTTCGTTGGTTTCTTTTTTGCTGTTTGCAGCCACCATGAAAGGCAGACCAGCCATGCCCACCTGTCTTGGAGCCAACTGAGTGTAGACTAAAACCTTCAAAAACTGTAAGATATAAACCTTTCCTTTCCCAACTTGGGCATCAGGTACTTTGTCTCAGCGACGAGCATAAAATAACTAAGATAGAAATTTGGTACCAAGGAATGGGGTCTTTTGCTGTGACTATACCTGAACATGTTTTTAAAGAGGCTTTGGAAATGGCTTGTGGACAGAATTGGGAAAGGTTTGGACATGTCCCCTGGATGCATAGAGCTGGAGCAGCTTAGGCTGTTCTGTAGAGGAGATTCTGATCAGAGCTCAGGAGCCCAGAAGGCTGATAGAAAGCCTGATGGTAAAGACAAGGCTTGGGAGATTTCTGCTGGGAAGAAGGACTGCATTAGTTGTTGGAGTCCACATAATGTGTGTTATCGGTTGGCAGAACGTTTGTCTACATTTTGCTCCTTCCCAGAGATCTTGCCTGAGACTGAGACAAAGGGCAATGGACTGATTAATCTTGAAAAAGAAATTAAAAAGCAATCAAACCTAGAGGCTATGGTATGGCTATTGTTGGGAGCTGTATGTTTCAAATCAAGAGCAAAGAGCCCAGCAGGATAATTTAAAATGATGTGAATTTGGCCAGAAGGAAAATTCCAGGAAGCCTGTGGATTGTAAAGACAGAGTTGAGATTTTGATTCCTGAAGAGAAACAGAGAGATAAGAAAGATGGCCCTGGGGCATCCCAGGAAGCTGGTCCCCACCCTGTGAAGCCTCACAGCAAAGGTGAAAAAATTTGCTCAGAGGGAAAAGCTGCAGATGGCCATGTTTCAGAATGGTGACAGTGGCCACATGAGGTTCCAGAATGACAGCAACATAGAGAAGCTTTTTCTCACCATCAGGCAAACAGAGCCTTGTGATCCAGGCAACTGTCCCCTACAGCCAAGAGAGAGAAAAGCCTGGCTACTGCTTCAGCTAGCAGCAAACCTTGGTATACACAATGTGCCGATTTTAGGTGCAAGGAAAATGCACAAATTCTGAGGGTAAGATGGCTTCCACCTCGATTGCAAAGGGCCTGGCTGGCTAAGCAGTGTGCCCCTGAGAGGGCAATTTGTGAAGATGTAAGTGTGAAGCCAAAGGTGCAGTGGAGATCCCAAAAGTTTGGAAAAGCCGGAAATGTGGATGACCCAAGGAAACCTGCAAAAATCAAGCAGAGAAGATTTAAGAGAAAAGCTGCTGGAGTTGAAATCGCTGGTAGTTCCCTGGGGGTGGAATCACCCAAGGCTTTTGGAACTTGCAACCAGTTTGCTGCAGATGCTGACTGTAGAACTCTAGGACTTAATGTTTGCCCTGCTGGGTGTTGGAATCACTTTGTTTCGAATGCTTTCTATTCTCCTGTTTGTAACTTTTGGAATGGTAATGTTTATCTTGTGTCTTTGCATTTCAAAAATGTTTAACCTTGTTTCATTTGTACAGGGGGTTACAGTTAAGAAACAGAAGGAGGTAATGGGATCCAAAAGCAAAATATTTAATGTAAGAGCAAAGGGGAGGGAATACCTGGGAGGGAAAGGTGGAAACTACTGACAGTTTCTTATTGTCTTATCTTGAACTCTTGCATTGTTTACACAATTTCATTAGGTTTGGCTTTGTTGTGTCTTGTGCTGTCAGATGGTAAGAGCAGCTATTTTGAATATAATGATATGGTACTCACGGTTTCCTATTATATTGCTTTGAAGTCTAATAATACTTTCATTCATTAGTTTGATTGGTTTTATTGTTTGTTTGATTTTATTATGTATGTATTATTTATTATGTTTGTTTTATTATGTTTTATTATGTATGTATTATTTATTATGTTTGATTTTATTATGTAATGGTATAAATAGCTATTTTGAAGAAAACAAGACATTATGGTAGCCATTGCTGATTTACTATCATCTTGCTTTGAAGTCCTACCATGCTTTTGTTATTTTGTTTTGATTGATTCTATTCTATTGTGTTTTATTTGATTTCATTATGTGTTATATTATGGACAACTTTTTGAAGAAAATGAGTTATTATAGTAGCCATTGTTCATTTCCTGTTATTTGGTTTTGAAGTTCTATAATGCTTTCATTCTTTTGAATGGTTTTAAACTATATTGTTATATTTGATATTAATGTGTGTGAAGCTATGCTCAATTAAGTCAAAGAAAAGAGACATTATGGAAGCTACTGTTCATGTCTGGTTGTCTGGTTGTGAAGCGCTGTGTGGCTTACACTGTTCTATTCTGATTTGCTTTGTTCTATTCTCTTTTATTTTATTCTCTTTTATATAAAAAAAATAAAAATCGAATTCCTGCCTTTAGGCTTTTACATTCCCTGTGATTGGTAGCTTTATTGCTATTATTTAGAACTACTGGGAAAAGGCTGTTTTCAGAGGTGTCTTCTAGCTGTAAGTGGCTTTTCATTTTGACTCTGTTGCAAGATCCTATCTCTTCAATCTGTTGGGGATGCGTATTTGACCCAGCCCCTGGTTCTTTGACACTGCCCATAGTGGTTTCAATGACTCATAGGCAGCCTCAGTGTTGGTGTACTAGGAAAGAACAGCTGGTTAGCACATTTCTATCACCTGGACTAAAGTGGTACAGTCAGACATAACAGTAGCCTAGAAAATGACCAACTGTAGAAACTTTATTTGTCACCTTGAAACATATGACATAGCCTTGTAGTTATATAACAAAACGTGAAATAAACTAGTAAGTAGTATGTAGTAAATAAGCTCTCAATATGCCCATTTTACCTTCAGGAGAGCAAATTTAAAAGAGGTTAGTGGGAAAAATAGAGAAATGTATTAAAGAGAATTAATTATAAGCAAGGTGGGAAGATGAAGCAGTGTGATGCACACTGAGAAAGTAGTGCAAAAGACAGGAATGAAAGAGAGAAGGAAGAAATGAAAGAACAGAAGAGAACAACCATAAGGAATCCAGAAACCAGGTTTACATTCATAGAAGAACAAGACTGAGCAGGGAAGAGGAAAAAAAGAAGTAAAGAAAGAGAGAAAAGAAATAACCACTTCAAGCTGTGTCTCTGCTGTCACCGGTAGAAGTTGTGTTGCAACAGAGTCCAGATTCACACTGATTTATCCCAGCAGGCCAACACTAGCTTTACGGTGGAGTAGTGAATAGTCTCAGTGAGCCTGCATCCCTATTTCCCCTGAACTTCAGGCTTATATCTGGCCATGAGGGTAGAACCAGACCTGTTCAGGCTGCAGCAGTCAGTGCACCTTCTGTGGGCTTGGACTCAGGTAGGAGCCAGCAGATAGGGGCAGCAGTTGTTCTGAGTTCAGGGCTCAGTTTGCTCCCATCCAAAATGGCTCCTGGTGCAATCGCCCTCTCCTGCAGATGGACAAATCCACACAACTCACCAGCCAGTGCAGTCTCTGGCATCCACTGGATGGCTGTGTCTCTCTATGAAGACCTCTGAGGTTACAGAAAGCCCCTGTGTGTTTGGAGGTCAAACTGCTGTTCCCAAGCAGTGAGTCCTGACACACGGAGAAAGTGCTGTCTGCCATCTCCCAGCATCCTCTTTGTGAGCTCGGTAAAGTAATACCTGCCTTTTGATGCCCTGATCCACAGGCCAGAGTAGTGTGAGGCTCATCCATATTAGTTGTAGTATGAAATTTAAAGAGGGGTGTAAATATTCCCTAAAACAGGTGCTTAGTATCCTGATAGAATAATTAAAAATCTCAAAACTAATGCAAAAGTAACTCCAATATGAAACAGGTCACAATTTCAGTAAAAGAAGATCAATGTTTTGGGTAAAAATCTGAGTTCTGGTGGGAATAGATGACATTTAGTTAATCTGGTAAAAGCCATCTGTTACTAACCACAGCCAGCATCATAATAAAACTGAAAGCTTTCACTCTAAAATCTATAACAAGGCAAGGATGCCATGATCACCACTGCTATTTCACTACAGTTCTGGAAACAGAGCAATTTGATAAGAGAGAGAAATAAGGATAAAACGTGCCCTGTGAGCAGTTGTGGCAGGAGAGTGGCTGGGCCCAGAATGTGACTCACCGCTCAGCACTGCACGTCTGTGGCCAGGGTGCAGCCCTGTGAGAAGAGAAGCCTAAGGTGGGCGTGAAGACCAAGAATGACCACATCAACCTGAAGGTAGCAGGGCAGGATGGCTTGGTGGTGTATTTCAAGATCAAGAGGCACACCCCACTGAGCCAGCTGATGAAGGCCCACTGTGAGTGGCAGGGCTTGTCTAGGAGACAGATTAGATTCGGGTTTGGTGGGCAGCCCATTAATGAAACAGATGCTGTAGCGCAGTTGGAGATGGAGGATGAACACCCCTTTGACGTGTTCCAGCAACAGAATAGAGGTGCAGCCTCCAGAGGGACGATCCTGTACCTTTCATTCACTGTGGCATGGTGAGCACATGACCAAGGTGATCATGGAGTCTGCGGAAGCCCAGGACAGTCACTGAACAACCATCCTCTGTGAGGTGCACTTCCACAAACCTGCATCCAGAGAGAAGTGTCTGCAGCTTAAATTGTGCCAGTCAGATTGTTTTCTGATTAGCTAAATGAGTTGTGAGGTTTCTTCATTTTTTCTTTTCTCTCCCCTCCCAAACATTTCCCTCAGACCTCTTGAACATCAGCTCCGTCTGTGGTCAGGTTCTCAGCCCAGAGTTGAGATGGCTCCTTGTAATCATGTAGACAGCTCACATCCTCCCAGTTGCCACGCTGTGGTGCAAGGTGAGAGGGATTTGACTTACTTTCTGTTGTAGGCAGAGGTTACTGCAGTGCTGAGTCTTGCAGATCTAGGCTTTGTAAGCGTGTGGTAAAGTTGAAGGGAGAAACTGGACTGGTCCTTGACAGGTGAACAAAAGCACAGTGAGTCTGTCAGTAATGTGTGCCTGGGTCTCGCTGCCCCCATCATGTCCTCTGGGGGCCTGAAGCTCAGGACACTGTTCCTCTGGTATGTACCTGGTGGTGGATACTTGTGCAAAGATTGGCACAATCAAAACTAGCTTTTCCCCTTTCCATAATATAGGACAACGTAATTACCGCATTTCTCAGTCAGTAATTATATTATGGCCTCTGACTTCTATTTGCCTCTGATGAATGACTTTGTTCTCCTTATAAAACATGATTAAGTCTCCTGAATTTGCAGTTACATTACTGTGTAAAAGAGCTACTTCAAAGTGTGGTCACAGAAGAAACCCATGGAAAGGTGACTTTGTGCTTTTCTTACGGATTTGTGCTCTGCTGCTTGATTGTATTAGCATGGTAACTCCAGTTCTGTGACACAGCTTGGGCTCTGTGCCAATTATAATCTTTATAGTTTTGCCTCGTGTCCTTCTCTATGGATCTGTTGCTGCTTGGAAGCCATTCTCTGACTTTCACAGTCATCTGAGGATGACCTGCCATCTCTTGCTTGCTTGAAATCCTACAAAAATATTCTTTCCTTTATTTTACTTTACTGGCTTGGGGTAGGATGTTCATTAGCTGTACTGTTTATTCACCAATTTGCATACTTTATGTTGTCCTTTAGTACTGTCAAAAGTAAATGTAGTTTGTTGAAAAAGAGATAGAGAAATAGATGGAATAAGGATAAAAAAGAAGAATTTAAATTATCATTATTCACAGCTGTCATGATACTCCATGTAAAAGACTCCAAAAAATTTACCAAAAGATTTTAGGATTTAATAACCAAATTCAGTTGTAGAGCCCAATACAAAATCAACACTGAAAACTCAATTGTATTCCTGTACACAAGCAACAAGCTTACTGAAAAAGAATTTAGGAAGACCACACTCTTCACAATAGCATCCAAAAAAAATGAAGTACTTAAGAATAAATCTAACAAAGGAAGTAAAATATCTATGTTTTTAAATTACAGTTTGAAAATTACAATTTCCTGAGAAAGAAGATTGAAGAGGACATCAATAAATGGAAAGATATCCCTTGCTCATTGACAGAAGAATCAACATAGTGAAAATTGCCGTACTCCCAAAATTATTATACAGATTTAATGCAATCCTGATCAAAACATCATTAGAGAACCTTACAAAACTAGAGGCCACATTCTTAAAATTTATTTGGAAACACAAAAGACCTAGAATTGCAAAAGTAATTCTTGACAACAGAAGAAAAGCAGGAGCAATCAAAATTCCTGAGTTGATATTATACTACAAAGTTACTGTTATAAAATCAACATGGAACTGGGAAAAAACAGACTTAGTATCAGAAGAACAGAGTAGAAGATGTAGACACAATTACAAAGACCCTCAGCCAACTTATCCTTGAATAAGAGGCCAAACATATTCACTGGAAGAAAGATAGCCTCTTTACTAAATGGTTCTGGAAAAAAAATGACTCTACATGCAAAAGAGTAAAACTAGACCCGTATCTATCACGTTGCACTAAACTAAAATTGAAAGAGATAAAAAATCTAAATATTAAAACAGAAACACTAAATATGCTGGAAGACAAAGTAGGCAGAAATCTTAAAGATGTAGGTGTAGGCAGAGAGTTCATGAAGGAAACCCAAACTGCACGGGGAACACTTCAAATTATCAATGCCTGGGATCTCATCTCACTACAAAGCTTTTGCACATCAAAGGAAATCACCAACAGAGTGAAAAATCAACCCACAGAGTAGAAAACAATTGTAGCCAATTGTTCCTCAGACAAAGGACTTCTCCCTAGAATATATAAAGAGCTAAAAAAGCAGACCTTGTAAATTTTAAGACCCAATCTCAAAGTGTGCATCTGAGATGAATGTGCATTTTTCAGATGAAGAAATACAAATGGTAAACAAATAAATGTAAATATATGAACAAATGTTCAGATCATTGGTGATTAGAGAACTGCAAACTCATAAGTGAAATAAATCAGAGTAACATTGTGTAAACATTGTGTTGCCTCCATGGTGTGAAAAACTGTAAGAGTAAATAAGGTGTAGAATGTGTGATAGATACTGTGAAATAGGAAGAAAGTGTTCAAAAGGAAAAAGAAACTAGGAGGGGGGAGAGGAGGTGGGACAGAAGGGTAAAAGGAAAATAAACCCCAAGTCACTTATACTATTAGTGTGTCTTAGTTCACTGAAAAGGAAGCTTTGTGTTAGTATTGATTGGAGAACTTTTCATGCCCATATCTTGTTCTCCGAGAAACTACTTTAAAGATAACAACATTCACTGTACTAATTATTGCTATTCTCCAATTACTTTGTTATGAAATTTTGTTTTAACCTTTTTTTTTCCATTTAAAGAACAAAATTTAAAAATCTGAGTTTTGCTAGTAACCCTCCTTACTAGCAAAACAGTGATCTTTACTGTTTGATAGTGTGGCTATGCAATATTTGAAGGGGTCTTTGTTTCTGTGTATTTGTGTATTTGTGTGTGTGTGTGTGTGTGTGTGTGTGTGTGTGTGTGTGTGCGCGCGTGCTTGAGGGCACGCGTGTTGTTTCGTCAGCAGTTGTATTCAGCAGTCAGGCTGATAGCGGAATCCCAGACTGTGATGTGAGGGACAGACAGACAGCAGAGCTGCTGGAATGGAAAGGATGGCCTGGTTGCTCTAACTGACTGAGGATGAGGTGGGTCAGAGGGGCCGTTCAAATGACGGGGAGAGGGCTGGGGATTTAACTCAGCGGCTCAAGAGTTTGCTTGGTAACGGCAAGGTCATGCGTTCCATCCCCAGTAACCCCCCTCCAAATGATGAGAAAAGCACTGCAAATCGAGCTTGATGAAGAAAGCAAATGGTGTTGCAGCACCATGTTCCTTATGAGGCTGTTTCCAGCGGGGAAAAGGGATTAACTGTACATGCTAAGCATCAAGCTGCCCAGACGTTCAATACTCCGAGATACTGGGTGCACTTCCGTGGTCGTTGAATTAGATTATTTAGATAAATAGGTAATAGGATGCTGTTTAAAATATGCCAATGGTTTTTTAAAGAAGCGTGAGAAAACCATCTTCTTAGCAATTTGCAGTGCATGAGAATGACCAGTAGGTGTTAGCACATACCACTTCTTTATAAAAATTACCTTAAAAATCTTCCGCCTGCCTGGTGAAATCTCTGATCTTGGGGAAGAAAAAGCGTCAGTCGGGGCTCTGTAGTATTCTATACTAGCGCTCTATAGCTTTTCAACAGCCATTTGAGTTTGTGCATCTGCTTGTATAGATTTTTTTCCAACTGTTAGTGGACTGTTGGGCAGGTTGAGAACAGAATAATTAGTTTGTGATGTCAGAGTAGAAGACAGGAAAGTTGCTACAAGGTGCACAATGGCTTGCGCACTGTTACTCCTTGACGATGGTGCCGGGGGAGAGGATGGGTCAGCTCACAGGACAAACACTGGAAATCATGCTTGGTGAAGAAGAAGAACGTGCACAGCACGTTCCGAGGAAATGATGGTCCACGCGAGGCTCTTCACAGCTGCAGTGCTCTGAGATGCCGCAAAGGAGCCTGCACTTGTTAAACCAGATCACAGCCTGGTACAAAAACTGTTTCTAGATAATTGAAAGGGGAAGGTTGAGAGCAGTTTTCCTTCGAAGTTGCCCTGCACAGGACTGACCAACAGGGAGCAGCAAGTGGCTGTCTCTTTAGAAAGTGATCTTGAACTCTTGCCCCTGCCCAGGGCGAGCTGGGGTCCTGTAAGAGACACAAAGTTTGGGCCACTTATAACAACCTGTCCTAAAGGACATTTTGGTGTTCATTCGGCACTTTAATTTTACATTTGTGAAAGAAAAAGAGATTGTTGGCTCTAGGATCTCCTTTTCTCCCCCTTTCTCTGTGTGTTTCTCCTTGAGTCTCTATTTTCCTTGTTCTCTCTTCCTTTCCCTCTCTCTCTCTCTAGCTACGACTGACCTCTACTCCACAGGCTCCAGTTCTGTTTTCTCCTTGTGACTTGACCTATGAAAACTGAATTACGCGGTGGGGACCAGTCTGGCCTCATCTACTTACCCTCATCTCCTGGTGACCTCACCTCTATGTCTATGTTTGCGTCTCTAGTTCACTTCACTTCCCAGAGCTCCAGAATCCCACACATACAAATACCTGAGGGACAGTTGTTGGCTGGGGATCTGGTGCCATCTCAAAATTGGAAATATGTCCTACTCACATCCTTATTTCCACCTGCCTTCAGATTTTGCTGTCTTTGCCTTCCCATCTAAGGACACATCATTGCAAATTCTCTGTTGGCTCATTTCCAACCAAAAGGTAGTATTTGGTTTTGTTTTTCTGTCTCACCTCATGTCTAATATGTCAGCAAACACATGTGTTCTAAGTTTAAACATGACCAGAGCCTTCAACCTTTCAAAGCAGCCGCTGCCAGGTCTGGAAAGTAACCACAAGCTGCCTTGGATAATGCTGTTAGAGGAATCTTTTAATGTTCATTTTCAAAGCTATCTGAAAGACCAAGAATAGCAAACAGGTATCAACTCTCCCTATTATCAGAATTTTCGTTTCTCTCACCCTACAGTTACCTTTGAGGACAGCAGTGGTCTTGGAGGATTTGCACAAAGAGAAAGAAAGTGAGCCTGTTGACACTTACCAACCATCATGAGAATGAGTGGAGCTGGGAGGTGCCTCCCTTACTGCTGGAAGTATTGGGTACTGAAACCTTGTTTGCCTGTGAACATCTCGGAAGGAAAGGTCCTTATGGAGACTGAAACTACATATGTCTTCATGAGTAGCAATGGAGAACAGAGGCAAAAATTGAACGTATATTGTATTGCTGCAAACTGCTGTACGATATTTTCTGAGAATTTGTTTGCCTGCTTTGTGCGGTAGCTGTATTCCTGGATTTCACCGAATGAGGATCCTTCAACCTCTCTCAGATCATCCCCAGTATACGAGAATGCAGAATCACAACTTGGATGCTCAACTTTGCCATGCTACATTCATCAGAAAGACGTGACATGACTGACATTTCTTTTGGCCATCACAGACTCGGTAAGACTAAGAGCCCTGTGAGAGGCACCCGGGCTCTATGATCCATGCAGTTGTCCCAAGCCCCAAAGTGCAAGCCCAGCAATGATCTCTGCAACTCTGCCCTTGTGAGATGGGGCGGCTCCTCAGGACTGAAAGACAGGCTGCAAGGACAATGCAGGTCACCATATGCTTGCCATAGGAGTCAGCTGCATCCTTCTCCCTCTGTATCAGAGCCCTCATTAGAGCACAGGTCTTGGCTGCTCTGCTGTTTTCCTCACTCTCAGGCCCAGCCAGAGGCCTCAGCTGCACCTTGTTGTTCTGATTCTTCAGCCTCCTCTTCTTGCACAGAGCAGGTTGTGCTGTGCTGCTCCCCAGACAGCAGTGCAGGAGGGCAGCTGGGCCTCCCCAGGGAGGGAGGTTTGTGTTCGGGGCTGTACCACTGTGTGAGGAGCATGTGTATTTTGGAAACAGTAATAAACCCCAGCATCCTCAGCCTCCACTCTGCTGATTTTGAGTGTGAAATCTGTTCCTGACCCACTGCCACTGAACCTCTCTGGGGTCCCAGAGTATTTATTGGAAACCTGATAAATCATTCCTCGTGGAGCTTGGCCTGGCTTGTGCACCACCCAATGCAAATACGTTTTTCCATTACTATGAAGGAGGCTCTGACTGGCCCTGCAGGAGATGGAGGCCGGCTCTCCAGGGGAGACGGACAGAGAGAGTGGGGTCTGGGTCATCACAACATCTCCCGTGGATCCTAAAATGATGAAGGAGAAGTACAAGGTGACACACAAACATCATGAGACATTTTCATAATTTTCTCTTTTTGGAATATTGAGCTAAATTACTTTTGAAATTTTAATTTACAGTGAAAAATTTTCAATTTTGAGATGGCTCTCAAGCTTTTTAATTACAAGGATCCCTCTAGAATTCATCTGAGCAGCCCTCTGTTTCTTTGTGACAATCTTCATGAGAGGCCAGATCCTGAGTCCTTTAGAAATATTCTTTACCCACCGATCTAAACTCACACACCCATGCTTCAAGTCAGGGATGCACACCTCACATATGGACAGAAGTCAGCCAAGCAACAGTGGGACTCTGGAACTCCCCCTCTTACCCCCTGCCCCTCCTCGTCTCCTTGTGTCCTTACCAGTGATCCAGAGCAGTAGCAGCCCCAGGAGCTGAAGAAGGAGCCTCATTTCCAGAAACTGAACTGAAGAGTCCTGAGCAGTCAGGGCCAAGTTCGAGCCACCTTTTATGAGACTTGCTTGGGGAGGTCCTCCCTGGGGACAACATGCAAATTTCTGGTGGGTGCAGTGGTGCAGAAGAGTGAAGAGCATGGTGGGAGGCTTCTCATGCAAGCCCAGTGGTATAAAATGTCCTCTGTATGTGGAGGAAACAATAGAGTTAAATCCATGCTGTGTGCAGCAGTGGGTTCAAGGATCCTTAGGAAAATCTGATTCTGCAGCAGGGACACAGTGCTCAGGGCTGTGCCCATCCCAGACAGGACTGCAGTCCCCAGGATACGGGGATGTGTGCAGATCAGTCTCTGGGAGGGGAAGGCTCATGCTTCTTAACCTCCTGGAAGAGGAAGAAGCAATTCTCACTTCATGAGACCTTGTCTTTAGCATTTTCTATCCTTAGGAGCATGTAGCAGAGCTGGGAACTCTCATCATTTTAGAAACAAGATGAGAAATATTCTTTTCCTTGACCTAGTAATTAAACAACATGAGAGCACTAAAATTCACAGAATATGGCTGAATTTATTTTTATTTTTATTTTTTTTTTGGTATTGGGGATTGAACTCATGACCTCATGTTTGCCAGGCAGGCACTTATGCTGCTGAGCTAAATCCCCAGCCCTGTCCACAAAATATGGTACACAGAATAGAAATTATCTTCTAGGTAGAGACCAAGATACTCTGTTGAAGGCAAAAAGAAAAGGAAAAAATTATGCTTCATATGGTGGAAATGAAAGTTTTGTAAGTAGATCTTGAAATTGGTGAATATCTGTCCATGTGTATGTCCTTGTAAATATATGTATCAGGATATATATCTTTCCTCAAGGAAGGTTTTGAAAAAATCTGATATATAGCCACACACATATACACCAAATTTTTCAAAACTTTCCTTGAGGAAAGATTTCTTTTGATGTTATACAAATGAATGAGGGATAATTTTATGCTACTGTTTTCTGAATGATCATAAAACACCCTTCTTACATCCTCCCTTTGTTACAGTAGAAATTGGGCAGCCATGGTCCATAGTTTAAAGCCAAAGTCTAAGTACTGGATTGTCACTATTGAGTTGGTGTTTTCTCAGGGTGGTAATTTGAACCAGGGTAATTTGAACCAATGGCTGACATGGTCCTGGAGGTTACCTGGGATGGTCACTGTGAAAAGGGGGTCAGTTTGAGACTCCTCTAAAGTTGTGAGAGAGTAAAGCCATGCTGTCCTTAGTCCATAAGTTCCTGTTATTGTTTATGACAGCCCAAAGCTGCAGTGTGCCTCTCACATATTTGGGAAAGAATGTTTGTGGTAAAATTAGTAAATAAGGATTCTGTAATTTGTGCTTTTATTGTAAATAAAAGACTCTGGATGTCCTTATCATCCTACCTGTGTGTGTGTGTGTGTGTGTGTGTGTGTGTGTGTGTGTGTGATTTGCAGCTTAAACCCAGGACATTCACACTGAGTGACATTACATTGATTAAATAGTAATAAAACAAAAATTGAGTTGTGAATAATGTTTGTGGCTTGATTACAAGATACTTTGAAAGATTTACAGTGTGTATATAATGTATAGAGATGTCAATTTTATACAGCTAATTAATGTTTTTTCCTGTAGTTTCCTCCACTTTTTAAATAATATCAAGTTTATAATTCAATTCCTGAAAATCCTCTCATAAGCAGCAGATCAGAAGGATGGGAAGAGCCCTTAGTTCTCTGATATTTTCATCGGTACTTAGTTTATGTATTTGACTTCTAATACTGTGAGTCCCTGACTTTGTAGTCTCTGGCCCTTTCAACAGTGCTCCTGAGCATTGGAGCACTTTCCTGCTTGTGTCCTCCTCCAGACAGGTCCTCATCTGGGCACCTCCTCCACAAGGCTGTCTGGAACCAGCTTCAGGCTTGGAAGGTCCCAGTCTCTCTGAAGCAGATATTATTGGAGTACAAATCTTTGGCAGTGTTGGTTTGTGACCACTGCTTTCCAGGACATCTTGCTTTTAATCTCCTCATGTCCCAGTGTACTTAGAGCCCTCTTTTCCCTTCACAGCAGCTGTGGGAAGGGGACTTTCCATCGCCCCTTTGCTGTGCACTTCACTCCCAGAGAGCCTGTGAGCCACCTGAGTTTAGGGTCCCAGTAGTTTATGCAGAGGGAGTTCTGGCCCAGGCTTCTGCTTCGTGGCCCATACCCAGGGTGGCGACCAGAGCTCTTGTTTGCTGTGCTCTTCAGTACTTTCCGGATGAACGTGACAGCAGCTCAGGCAGGTTTGGTGACACATAGTAAATAAATGGGTCCCACTTTTTTCCCTTTCTGTTCTTTCCTCTTCTTCTCTCATGACTCTCCTGAATCTTCCTCCCTGCTTTCTGTCTTTGCTGGTCCTCCCCTTCCCTTTTCTTAGTTCTCTTTGTGAGTGGTTTCTCCGCCCCTTTTATTACCTCATGACTGTTGTTGATGTGAGGTAGCCAGGATGTCACTCTGTAAGCCCCAGCCCGCTTCGATATATTTTTTATTTGAAGCTAAAGCTCCCTGCATCACATGTATTAGCTGTAACTGGAGAGTTTCTAAGTTGACCTGCAGGCTGCATCCGCATCTTGGGGCTCCTGCGAGGAACCCCTCACCTGTGGTTTCCACATCCGGGAGGCCCCTCACATTCCTCCTCTGTGCCTATTGTTCCTCCATTTTCACTGATGGCAATATTTCACCTCTGAACTTTCTTCAGAGTCGTGATCATCTGTGCAGCCTCCCTGTCTGCTCTCCTAATGTCAGCGCTGTGTAACCTCAGTCTGCACTGCTGATGGATGTGACTCTGTACCTTTCTCATTACCCAGTTTCAGTTAATGAATAGAAAACTATATGGGTAGGGGAAACTTTGTGCCCCTGTGGAAAGAATTTTCTACCTAATCTTATTTATATATTCATTTTAAAGTGGAATCTAGGCAGAGAATTTAGCTCAGTGGTGTAAATGCCTGCTTGGCAAATGTGAGGTGGTGAGTTCGATCCCCAGCACCAAAAAGCAACAACAACAACAACAAAAAACAAAACAAAAGTGGAATTCAATGCCTACTTTGCATCATAAATACACAACAGTGAAGAATGGTTTCCCATGCCATGTTCCTAACTTTCTTGTTCTGCCAGTGTATACTAGAAACACACAGAGGTGTTCAGTGTTGCCCACGTAAGAGCACAAGGCGATGTGAGCTATGCCGTGCACTGTAAATGTTTAGAGGGGATCCACAAAGATCTTTGTAATTCCAGTGTCTCTAGAATTTGATCAATAGAATTTGCCAACGTAGCTTCTGAAAAGAAGGAAAAATCTCACTTTTCTTTAAAATTGGGTCACAGTTGCCCAGGTTAAATGTGTCTCATTAAAAGAAACGTGAATACCGGGCATCAGGAGTATGTAAAACATGCTTTCATGGTGCAGGCAGCAGCGTGGGTCAGGTCTGTGCCTGGTAAGGGAAGGTTGCCCTCAGTGTGGCACCTGGGAAGTTTCAAGGACACGGACTGTGCTGTCACCAGAGTATGGCTGTGTAGACATAGCCATGCATTTGTCAAGGAAAGAAATGATAAAGAAAATGTGCCTCCATTCTAAGCAGTATTTGCCCGAGGTTACCTCCCCTGAAAAGAAAATAATTTTGCACTTGACATTTGTCCTTTTGTGATATCTCTGACCATTTTGGAACTAATGAAAGCAAAATCATATGTCACGTAGCACCATTCTCATGTAGGGGAAAATTCCAATTCTCATTGTGGCTGAGGGCTT